CATCCCTGCTTAGGCATGCTTATGCCTTACAAGTATGGAAAGCAAAATACCAAGTTCTCTCTCTATTTTGGAGTATGCTGATACTATGGAATAAACCTAAAATGACAGAGTCCAATATTCTGTTCGTCACCTTGACACAAAGTGACTAGCCCGTGTCAGTCACTTACATTACATCTGCTGTTCAAGCACAGGAAATGACAGAGATTCAGGGCGATCCAGATCAGAGTAATCCTCAGTAGACATTAGTTTGTTCTTTTGATGCATTCCATTTGCCAATGAGGTAGGATTAGGCCACTTTCCTGGAGGGCCTTTTTGGCTACACAATGTTCAGATGAGGAGCAGGAGCTGGGCTGAGTTGATACCCATGCAGATATAAATCCTACTCCCAGAACAGGAATGACGACTACTATAGAGAGGAATCTAGCAAAGGAAGAGAGAAAAAGAAAGGATATAAGCCTATAGCTTCTATTGCCCACTGGAGAGCACTTTTTATTTTTTTATTGGGAGAACAAAGGGCAGTAAACCAACATATATCAGCAAACGAAACACTGCACAGATAGTGAACGTACCGAAAGCACAGTCAAATGCAACGGGCAGCCAGAACATTCCTGTGTCGAGTTAAATTTCAGTAGAGCAATATCATCCCTCCTGCTGGTGGAAGGGCCTAAAAGCTGGCAGATCTGGGCCAGGAGGTGGTGTTTGGTGGAAGGGGAAAAGGAGAGCTATCTCCATGGTATTATCTCTTTGATAATTTCGTCCTATAGATTAAGCTTTTTTTAAATTTAACCCCATTTTTGTTAATTTGAGCCAATTTAATGAAGATTTAATCCTATCCTCCAAAGTATTTGATTGCTCCCAGATTCATATCATCCACTAATTTGGTTAGCATATTTGCCACTTAATCCTCCAAATTGTTAATGAAAATACCAAAGAGTACTGTATCTACAATTAACCCCTATGGCAGACCCACTTGATGCCTCCTCTCAACTTCACACTCAACCATTAATATATTTGCACTCTGCCTGACACTTTCTAAACCAGTTGTGTATCACTTTTATAACAATCTTGTATTTCTTGTTTACCCACAAGACTCATTCTATTAAATATCTCAATAAAACTGAAATATGTACAAAAAAAGATCTGAAAACAAGTTGTGGGGGCAAACTTAATTAGTTTTAAGAGGCAACTATAGCAAACACCACCATGCTTAGATAGCAGAGGTTCGTAGCACCTAGTGTCCATGACCACACTGCATGGCCTTTATTCCAAGTATCTAAGAGCTCCACAGGGTTATTAATGATCTGATGCATTCAGGTTAATCGCAGGCAACTGTGTGACCACTACCAGTGCATGACAGAGCAGTTCCCCCTCCTGACCTCCTGACCTCAATCCAATCTTCAGGGCTTGATGTGTGAGGATAATGTCTCTGAGGCAGGCAACATGACCAAAAAGGACCAGCTAGCAGCGGCCAACAATGATTTCAATCCTCTCTATGCTATTTCTCAATGATACATCCCTATTACTGATAAAGTCACACCATCTTACACTCACTAGTTGCTGTTGGCAACACATATGAAAAGCATCCAACCTCTTGATGTCCTGTTTAGGCAGCATCCATGTTTAGGTTCATGTAAGGAATCAGAAGTACATAGGTTTGATAAATACATTCTTTTGTATATAGTTTCTCCTTCTTTTGGCTCCAGACACTACGCAGGTCCTTCATGGCTGAGGCTGCTAAACTAATTCTCCCAATACACCTGTGCCCCTGAGTCATTATGTAGATGTTGAATTAGCCTCCGGGGCATATCAGGAACACTGATGGCCTGCAGGGCCTTCCACAAGGCAGCTCTGTCAACAGAATCAAAGGCTGCCTTTAGGTTTATGTGTGCTACTTTCAAAGGCTGTTTAAATTCATTCTGGATCTCAGATAAAAGATGGAAAGCAAGCATAGCATCCATTATGGATCGCCTGGCCATGAAGCCCAATTGCTCAAGGCAATGGCATTTCACAAGGAGAAGATGGAGCTGGACAAGTATAGCATGTAAAGTCTTTTCCAGGAGCAGAGTACTATAGCTACTGCACTCAATGTATGGACCTTTCCCCTTATGAAGTAAGATGATAATCCCTTTCTCCCACTCCACTAGTACCTTCCCAGTAGTCCAAGCCCAGACAAAAAGCTGTTGTAATGCTACACTTATATGCTCTATGGTGCACATGAGAAGTTTGGGCATTATGCAGTCAGGTGTGGCAGCACACCCACTTTGCAGTTTCTTTATGGCAGAATGAACCTCTTCAAACACAGGAGCATTTACACGAGCTTTGGGAGTCTGGGGTTGCATCTATTGCTAATGTAGTAGAGAACTGCACAATTTTATGACAGGATTGCTTGTGATGGTATAGCTCAACAGTCCTGGAGGGTCACTTCCTTTTGATGTCTTATGCTCTTAAAAGCTCATGCTTCAGGGTTTCAGCCAGGCACCTGCAGGGGTCAGGAAGGGAATTCCCCACCCCCTTCCAAATGTATTCTCTTTTTTAAGCATCATCTCCTTCCTCTGAAGCATCAGGAATGGCCACAACTTGAGATTGGGCAGTGGTTTGGGCCGAGAGGGAAGACAGGGCTGTTGAGTGCTAGGCTGGCTGGTTATTGCTCACCTGTGCAGGGTCTAACTTATTGCCATATGTGGGGTCAAGAAGGAATTTCCGCCCCAGGTCACATTGGCTGTGACTGGGGTTGGGTGGTGTTCCCATCTTCCTTTGCAGAATGTGGGTGTGGGTCATTTGCTAGGATTATCTAGGTACATCACACTCAAGCATCTCCCTGACATGGTGGGAGATATTAAGGCTTATGCTTCAAAAGATTAAGCATTTTTCTTTCAGTTAGAGACATTTCACATAACAAACAAATACCATTATTAAAATAACTTTGATGACTTTAAGTTTCAGAAACTGAGTTAGAAGCTTATAGCAATAAATGCAACAAACAACTGGACACACCAGAAGAAATAAACTCTACCATCAAGTATTCTAAGAACTTTGGGCACAAAACAGAAGCCAAAGGGAAAGTTTCTTTTTCCACGTCTGTGCTCTTGATATGCTGATTATGGACCTCACGAGGGAAAGTTTGCCTAAGAAAACAGAGGGCATCATCAGTCAAAACCTTCATGAGGCCGTGTTCTAGGCACTCAGTTCTCCAGGTCATGATTTATTCATTTAGAACTACATTGTGAATAAGGCATGGTGCATATCTGCACTGCCTGAGGAGTTACTGTGGCTCAAAGGAATAATGCCGGGGAGGGGGCATGGCAGGAGTTCCCTAGTTGTGTTTTCAGGGTGAACTCACTCCTCATAGCCAGTCAGCTCTACTGGTCAGGGAATAGCAGTGCTGAGCCATAGGTCCCTGTGCTCTTCTCTCTAGGAGGAGCATCAGATGCAGAGACCTTGCTTTCTACACCAGGAGAAAACCTGGCTAGCCCTATAATCAGGGCTGGGGAATCGTTAACTCTTCCACTATTTCCCTGTTAAGGCAAGTCACGTTCCAGCCTGGAGGTGACTTTCTGTCAGGAAAGCTGATGAGCAGGCTATGATTTTCACTTGTATCTCAGAGTCTTATTTTGAATGCTCACAAAAAGCTGCAATAAGTCTTACCTGAATAGCACCTCACTGCTGTGCAGTTCAAAATAAAGACTTTGAAGATGTCTGAAAGAGGGCCTAGAAACAATCACAGGGAACTAAAAAGGAGACGTAATCTAGGAAACATTGGAAGGTATCTTGACTAACACTGGACAGGCAAAGAGGGTTCTATTGGCACTGCCACTGAATAGCTTCCTTTGTGAATTTGAGCACTTTGCTTAGACTTTGTTGCCCTATCTCTACGATTAAGATAATGCTTACCTACCTCAGTCACAGGGTATGTGTGAGGGTTAATTTAACATTAGTAAAGTGCTCTGCAAATCTTAGAAAGTGACATAAATGCAAGGTATTATTATTACAGCTGGATGAATTGGTGTCTGATAAAATAATTAACGTAAAACTTGAAACAAATATTTTTTGCTATGTGAAGCACTCACTGTAGTGATAAGTGCCAAAGAAAAGCCCATTAGAAAATTAATAATGGTCTTGAGCTGGAACATGTCCAGCACAGATGGAATCTATAGAGAATCTAGTTGCCAAACTAACAAGTCTCACACTGAACACATGCTAATTGAAATTCACAGAGGTTCAAAATTTGGCCAAATAAGGGAGATTTGCACAGGAACAGCAAAAAGGCACTTCCCTGACACCAGGTCGTCCCCTGAAAACTTGCAAATACTTATCCCAAAGCCTGGGATGGCTTGTGCTTCTCAATGTAATGGTTTTAACAATTTGTTATGGGCAAGACAACATAAATGGCTGAACTATTTTTTTGCTGAATTTTTCTAAAAACAACCATTTCTTGTGGCAGACACCCAGCATGAAAAATGTCACCTTGAAACACTTAAAAGTTTGGCAGAGTTCTAAGCAACTGAAAACAGCACCTTATAATGGGGAGTGTCAGACAACCTACCCGCTCTACCTGTAAGAAGGCCCCGATTCCCCAGCTGCTCCATGTGGCAGATCCCGGACCTATCACCCCTAGTCCCACTGACATCAGCTCGCAGGACTGGGATCTAAATGTTGACAGCTGAGTGGAAATATTAGTTTAATAACAGTCCTTAGCACTTCCATACAGCCGTGCCAACTCTTTAACAAAATTGCTTTAGAAAAATCTAAAATGGTCCAACCATTATTTTTAAATAATAGACCCAGCCACTGCACTATTTAGGGAAACCTTTAGGGGTTGCTTTCAAATAATCCATGCAGAGTGAAGGTTACACTTTCTTTGTATTTATTTTATTAGCTGACTGGAGCCTTCCCTGGGCAGGAAAACAAAGCGGAGCAAAGAAGTTCTTTAAGGAGCAACAACTTAGCACAGGGTAGGAGGCGGGGCGAGCCTGGAGATTTGAGTGTAAACTCCCGGGCGCCGAAGCGGTGGAGGGTGCAATGCAAGCAGCAGTGTCAGGAAGTTGCTGCTGGTCAGTTCCTGTGCCCCGGGGGAGCGGAGCAGTCGCTGCTGTTGGAGCGGGGAGGGCCGGGCAGCGCCGCACGAGCTGGAGGCTCTGTCCCCGGGCAGCGGCAGTCGCGTGAGTAGCCAGGCGCGGGATCGGTGTGTTAGCAGCTCCGCGGTGCCCCTGCTTCGCTTCGCTTGGTTGTCTAGAAGAGGCCCCGGTTTCAAGCGGCAGCGCCCGCTTTCCTTCTGGGGCCACCAGGGCGCTGGGGCTGGCACCAGGGCACGCAGCGGAGTCTGCACAAGCGGGTGGGTGTCGGTGTAAGAGGCGGTGGAATAGCCCCAGAACAAATCCGGTGTAAACTTAATAGCCCCGAGCCTGGGCCACGCAGGTGAGAGCAAGAGAGGTCCTTTTGACGTACTTAGCGATAGACCGTTCACTGACTGGGGCTGGTGTGACGCGGAGCAAATACTGCAAAAGAGCGTTTGACAAATGACTCCACAAAAGGCAGGGAGGTTTCGTTTTCAAAGAAAACCCACCACAGACTCGGTGACCAGCATGTGTGTGCAGTTTTACAGTCTTCTCCCCATAGAGAGCAGGCCTGATTTAATTAAGTGCCACAAAGTGATAAATAATCAGAAGTGGCTGTCTGGAGACGCTTTGTCTTTCCACCATTGATTTCATAGGCTCCCCATGACTGACACATCTACACCCTGTTTCCACTAAGAATTTATTATTCAGAGTTAGTTGTATTGTTGCACCTAGGAGCCCCAGTCTTGAACCAAGACCCTACTGGTAGGGACTGTACAAACAGAACACAAAGAGGGTCGCTGCCCCAAGGACCTTACAATCTAAGTACAAGACAGCAACTGATAGCTGCATACAGACGGACTGCTGGGGAAATTCAAGGAATCAATATTACAGGCCGTGGCCTCAGTACTCAAGCAGCTTAACCCCTGTGGAGGTTTCATAAGCATCATGGGAAAAGGGAGTTTCCAGCTGATTTAGGAGGAGGATAAAAGATAATGAGTTAGTCTTGTGGATGTTTGTAGGGAGTTCTTTACAGGCATGAGGGCATATAATGGAAGTAAGAATGTTTGAAAATTAAACAAGTGAGCAATAGAGACCAATACTGTGGGCCAGTTGGAAACAGGGGATGGCTTTTCAATGCTGAATGAGAGTGGCTATGTAGAGTGGGGACAGTTAAGGCTACGTTTTAGTCATGGGTATTTTTAGTAAAAGTCATGGCCAGGTTACAGGCAATAAACAAAAATTCACAGCTGGTGACCTGTCCATGACTTTTACTATAAATACCCCAATGGTGTTTTGGGGGGCTCAGGGGTGCTGCTGCTGCTTTGGGGGGGCTCCAGGGTGCCACTACTGCTTTGGGGGTAGGTGGCCTGGGGCCCTTCGGCTGCTCTGGCATCCCCTGGGGCAAGCTGCCTGGGGCTGCGTGAGCAGCGGCCGGTGCAGCTGGCCTCAGGCCTGCTCCAGCTGCTCAGACCAGGGGCCAGCTGCATCACAACTGCAGAAGTCACAGAGGTTCCGGAAAGTCACAGAATCCGTGACAGACTCGCAGCCTTAGGGATAGTCTGTAAAGGACTTTGAAAGGGAAGACGTGATGTTTACATTTGATATGATAGAAAGGGGGACACCAGTGGAGGGTTGCAAAGAGAGGGGTGACATGGTCAAAGTGACAAGCTAGGAAAATGATCTTTGCAGTTTTCAGAGTAGCAGCCGTGTTAGTCTGTATCCGCAAAAAGAAGAACAGGAGTACTTGTGGCACCTTAGAGACTAACAAATTTATTAGAGCATAAGCTTTGCAGTAGCATTCTGATTGGATAAGAGCAGGCCAAGATTGCATTTGTCAAAGCCACAGAAAAGGATGTTGCAGTAACTGAGACACAAGATGAGAGCCTGTGTTTTAGCTGTGTGGATGGATCAGAAAGGCTGCATCTTAGGGATATTATGTAGAAAGAATCTGCAATGCTTAGATATAGCCTGGGCATGAGGACTCCTGGATGGCAGGAGAGAGATCACTTAATCATTGCCTGTTAGGTTCACTCCCTCTGGGGCACCCAGCATTGGCCACTGTTGGTAGACAGGATACTGGGCTAGATGGACCTTTGGTCTGACCCAGTACAGCCATTCTTATGTTCTTGACTTAGAGAGAGGCATGAGGCAAAGTTGACAGCCAGGTTACAGGTCGAAATGGTGATGTTGTCCACGGTGATCAAGAAAGGAAATAGCTGGGAGGTCTTATGAGAAGTGGGGATGGGGAGCTAAGAACTCTCTTAGAGTTTGAGCTGACAGCTGAGATAGCCACGAGGATGTGGGAGAGACAGGCTAAGATTTTAGTTCTGACAAAAGGAGACAGGTCTGAAGTAGAAGATAGATCTGTAAATCATCTGCATAGAGATGGTAGGTGACTGTGTGTGGATGAGATTATCCAGAGATAAGGTGTAGCGAACAGAGGGGAGACACTGAAGGAGGGTTTTAGAGAGGTAGGAGAAAACTGATTCATAAACATTATCAGAAATCCTCCCAATAGTTGTCTAGCACTGGTGCAACTCCACCTGACAGCCATGGGGTGAGCTCTATTGTATACCAGCAGCATACATTTTTACCATTGTGCCCTAAATGGGAAATCTTGGCCCTTATTTTTACCAACGACATAAGTAGATATAACTACATGCACACAAGCAACTTGTTTGTCTGGTAAACTTGCTTCTCAGAGTAGAACAGCATTCATTTTCTGTAATCCAGTACTTGTTCTGACCTCATTGAAGGATGATGCACACAGCATATCAGTAAATGAAATTGTACAGACTACAATATGCATCTTAGTGTTGCAAATAATGTTAACTGCTATTGTATAAAATATTTATTTTTGATAATGTAGATGTTTGCAAATACACTTAGTATTAATGTAAAGAAATCTTAGCCTTTTCCAGCACACTTATTATGCCTTGTCATTAGTTATAAAACAACCACCTTTCTGTTTTTGCTAATTATATGCTTACATACAGAATATGTATAGTAGCTATCTTAAGTTACCTTCACTGGTCAATGTGATCAAATCCATAAAAAACAAATAATTTGTATTAAAATATAAATTAGATTACCCAATACTGTACTACAATTTCTGCCTTTAATTGATTTCTGATTTTCAGCAGTTATGGTCAAATAACTTGATCACTGGCCCTGGGAGAGATCCATTTGATCAACAGGAAGATCACAATTCTGAAGGAAATAATAATAAAAAAAAACAGAGCATAGGCAAGACAGACACTGGAGGCCAAGTATTTTAAGAAGTAGAGGCCCACTGATGGGCACAAAGATGATTGTGGCATGGTTTTGCACACATTCAAGCAATTTGTGTGTGCAGACAGAGGTTTAGCCATTTGGCAGTCCATTGTTCAATGTGTATTTGTGGGAGTTGCATACACAAGTAGACTTGCAGTTCTGTGCAGAACTTGGATACTTTATCAAAATTTGTCCCTGAAAATAAAATCCATGACAAACTCATTTGTATTGTTCAGAAGTGGTTACTGAAATTCTAGAACTTTCTGTGCATTATATATGCTTTTATTATGCTCTTTAGTGGTCTTCTAGATAACTTTATCCTCTACTTATTGCAATCAAAGTGATAGGAATGGACATTCAGATTAAGCAAGAGGTAGCGTAAATGTCATTTGTAAATGGCAAAGTAGGCATTTTGGCATGTCTATATATTTAACATATGCTTTCCTTTAACAGAAAGCATAAGCCTCAAACCCATGTAGATCATTTGCTAGCCAAGTTATTATTAACAGTGACTGAGAAACTTTTCTAATAAAATCTGACTTCCAATCTGTAGAGGATATTGAGAATTCAGAAAATATCTTCAAAAAGAAAGGAGGACAATGGGAAAGAAAATTCTTTGAGAATCTTTTCCCCCCCTCTTGAAGTAGAATGGATCACTTCACTCTACAGTTTTCTTTGATAGCTCAAATGAAGACATTTAAAATGTGCTTTAAAACTCATAAATCCTACTTTATGATAACTAGCCATTATATACAAGATTGCATGTCTTTCAGAAAGACAGCTGTGTTTCACAGCTATTACAGCATTATACTGTATGTCAGTATGCTTTGAATTTGGAATATATATCTGGTCAAAGTCAAGAATGTTGACTCAATACATTTTTAAGGGTGTAATTCCATTGTCTGCAACCAAACATAGGTCCTTTTACATTACCATGAAATGATATCTTTAATCTCACCTGGGATGGAGTACTGTAGGACTGAAGCATTTTCTTAAAGTTTTATAATTAAGGGCGGGGGGGAAGAGATGTGGGAGATTGTGCTGATAGTTTATTCTCAGAACATTTTCTGTAACAGCGTGCACAGATTTTGTAACAGTCTCCTATTGAAGTGAATATTAAAATGGTGTTACAGAATATGCGTATAATGAATTAATTCTGACATAAAAATTGTTTTTTCTCTCACGACTTTTTTTTTTTTTTAAAGTATGCTGTGTGCCCTTGGAAAAAGTAGTACTTCAAGACTTTATGAACTGCAGTACGTTTAGGATCTTTTAACTTGTTTAGAATTCCAGGAAAAATACTCCACCCCTACTATTTATTAACCTTCTGTCTGAAAAGGAAAGAGCACTCTACCAAGCCTACTGCTAATCCAGTACCACGCACATTTTTGAGCCAAGACTACCAGTCATAACATCATTTGGGGATCAAATAATGGGTCACTGGCAAAACTTTAAATATGTACTCACAAATGGTCAGTTGGCAAGTTCCTTTCATGAGCAGAGGCATCAGCAAAGTGAACCTGATAAGTCTGGTAAGTTTCACTGGTGCTGTTCATAATAAGTTGGATAGGAGTAAAACTGACCAAATTGTGTAAATTTTGCTTAGCTGCTGGTCCAGAAAACTGAGTAGTAGCAGAGGCTAGGCAGAGAGATTCAGAAAGGAAGAGTCCCCAGAAATGAGAAAAGGAGGTTCCCAAAAATGGGGCTAAAGAAGAGAAAAGGAAAACAATGATGGGGAGGGAATTAGGATGGAGGAGGCTAATGCAAATGGAATCGAAAACATGGGGATGGGAGGGAGAAGCACCTAGAACTGGGGATGAGGAAGGGAGTATAGAAAAAGTTCCCCCTTCCCTTCTCATAGCCAAGAGGGACTTTGTTGTGGGGCAAAAGAGAGAGAGAGAGAGAGAAAGCAGCAGCAACTTCAAATTTGAGACACCATACAAGAGATAGAGTCCCTAAGTAAGGTCCCTCAGCACCCCCATTTACTCCAACTGTTGGGCACTGGGATTCCTCATCCCAGCGCTGCCCTTTGTCTCTGCTTGAGGGACTATCCTTCATACCAGTATCTCACAAGTTAAATATCATGTAAAAGGGACCAGATTAACACCAATTTCATTTTCCTTTGTGACCAGAGCTAGGTGTGAATGAGGAACTCTAGAAGAAAGGCTATTCAAATACAGCACCCAGCTGAGCCACCAGTCTGTTTTCTTACATTCAATGACTGCATGTTTTCCTGCTTAGATAGCGCCTTCTTCCCCACTTCTGCTCTTTTTACCATATTCAGCGTGTGGATCTAGATTTACAGGCTGAAGATCAAATGGAGAATAAGTATGTAACCATTATACAATAATTTCTGTAACAGTAATTGTGTAGTTCTGAGTTTTCTAGGACAGTCACAATCACAAACACAAAGCTGCAATAGTGTTTGGCCTGTGGCCCATGGATTTCTGAAATGTGCTAACAGCTATGCTAGTATGCAATAAAGAGGTGAAGATAGCCTGTTTTTGCCTATCTACCTCCATGGTTGTTCTTTTTGGCCATGCATCCATATTAGACATCTAGGCCTTGTCTACACTACGAGAGTAGTTCGATTTTACTTGCATCGAATTTTTGTAATCGATAT